AGGAAGAAAACTCCAGCAGAACCAGGCTCAGTGAGTCTGTCACAGTCGGAGAAACAGGACTACACTGAAAAACAGGACGATCTCCAGCATCTATGAAGGTGTTGATGGCAGCAGCACAGCTGATATTTCTAAATCATTTTAAGTGGACATATTGCAGCTTTGCAAAAACCATGCCATTATGTATAATTATTCAGCCCACATATAAAGTTATGCTTGAAGGTTATTGCCAGTCAAATAAATCGAAAATGACCAAAATAATAATAATAAAAAATAATAACAAATGTAGAAATATCTGTAAAAAATCTATCTATCTATCTATCTATCTATCTATCTATCTATCTATCTATCTATCTATCTATCTATCTATCTATCTATCTATCTATCTTTTCTGTAATGTTCACTAGGACTTCTGCACCTGATGACAGGTACGTTGCTCAATAGCAAAGTACATTAATTTGTCTGGGAGAGTTTGTTTTTTGACTAATTTTTTCAACAAAAATTCAAAATCAATACTCTATTATAAATTCTAATTTAATATTATTAATATTTTAGGAATTTATAACCGTCTTTAATGGGAGCAAATGTAAACATATGCTGCATCTGTGAAGTGGGAGCCAACAGAGCTGTGCCGCTGGTTGTCATCCAGTGAAACACCAGGAGGCCTCAGCTCAGCTTCAGCTTTCCCCTGACTGGGGACACTGCTTTAGGTTACTATGAGCTAACATGACCATGACTTTTGAAAGCTGGACTGTGTGCCGTTAGAGCACATGAAGACCTGGCAAAGAAGAGGTGGTTTATTCTTACAGTGAATGTTTGTGTGAGCTTCGGCAGGAGGGCTGCATGGACTAACAGATAAGGTCTGGACTCTGGAAGGGCTTGGGTAAAGCATCTGTCAGCCCAGGATTTCTATAAAGAGGTCCTGATTCTTACACACATCCCTAAAAACATCAGCAAATTTTGAGTGAATATTTAAAACTAAAAGGCTCATTTTGATCATTATGTAGTAGCAGTTTTAGTGTTACCTCTTGAATGAGCACTTTCTGTGAATATATTTAATTAAATGTGCTCAATATTTGAGTTTTGGATATTCAATGTACAGATATTTTTTTTTTTTTTTCCTTTGCCAGTCCTACATACAGTCAGTCTCACTTGTCTGAAACTCTACCTCCACTTACACTCCTTAAATTAAACATGTTTAGACAGTTTATGGCTTAATTTCTGCTCTATGTTGCTTGGAAATTGCATAGCTCAGTTAACAATTAGACTCAATTAAAAAATTAGTTGACACTTATCTTTATTTTAATTAAATTAATCAATTAATTGTTTTAGCCCTTATCATGAAGTAACTTTTTATACAGTCCATGTTAATTGCTATGAACAGTTTAGAGATGCCAATTAACCACAGGATGTACCCCTCCTTTTTGCCCATTTCGATGTGTATTTATTATAAAAAGTATGGATGGATGTAAACATCTGGTTTCAAGCACTTCATAAAACCCTTAAAAAATAAAATCAAAAATAATATGCATTAATACTGATGATGTACATAAACATATATTTATACATCTATGCACATTAAATCAGACATGCATACAGCAGTACACACTGACAACCAGCTACTGTAAGCAAGACTTACATTCATATAATCATATATTCATTTATAGATACAGCTAGTCTAACATGTATAATGAAACATGGTGTGACCACAGTTACAGTGGTTAATTTATACTGTACTTCTTTCTAGGGCTGAAACAAATAATTGATTATTGAAATAATCATCAACTAATTTAGTAATCATTTAAACATTACCTGGAGTATAGAGACTCCAGAGCATGACAGAGCGACCTATTTAGCACAGTAATTATTTCAAAACTGTAAAAAACGTATAAATATTTTGCATTTAATGAAAAAAAATGCTCTAATCAGAACTACTTAGGTGGAAAAGTTTGAGTTTCACCTGTTTTAATTTCTTCTTTAAAGAATCTTTAAAAATCGACAGATTAATCGATTTGCAAAATAATCGTTAGTTGCAGCCATACACTTCATCAATACCCCCCATCTACTAGAGCCACATAACATTTCGTTATTGTAGACTGCACTGAAAAAAATAATGCAACCGTTTTTGGAATCTACTTAATCATATTTGGTCACTTTAACACAATTGTTTTACATCCTACTCTGCTAACATGTAAAACTGTGTAAAAGTAACTAAATATGATTATGGTATGGCCAAAAAAAATGTGCATATTTTTGGGGTATTTTATAGAAAATCACTTTCAATTATTGGGTATTAAAGTGTGCTTGAAACATTCCCAGCTGATGCAAAAGTTCCTGTAGCAGATAAACTCAATTTACTACGAAAAATACTGAAAAAAGATCAAAACATCAAAAGTATGTAAGGGTGAAATAAAGACAGGATAATACCTTCATTTTAACAGCATTAGACATGGTAACAAACACAATAAAATACTCACACGTCCCCCATAGATGGCATTGACAGAAACATTTAGCTGTTTTTGGTTCAGTTTTGAGCTACATATCTGTTCATTGATGTGTAAAGATGCGATAGATGATTAAAAAATAATAATCTGAACTGTCCCACCTACAGGGATCTGTAGAGTGAAACACTCGAGGCTTCTCAAGGTGACCCGGTCTGCTAGTTATGATGATGAAGCTGCACCCCTCCAAGTATCTGCTGTGTCCCTGTCAGCACCTAAATAACAGCTCTACATTCACCTCCAGCCAAACTGAATTAGCTATCCTGTGATTAGTAGATTAGCTCTGAATTTCCATACTGCTTTTATTAGCACTGTGTCCTGGACGGGCCTTTCAGATACTAGTTCAAGGTTAAAACACTCCTTACACACACACACCATTATCACCCTGCTCTGAAAGCCTGAGGACCTTCCTTTTGAGCTGCAGGAGATAAAGGGGGAAGTTTGTCATCTAATTCTATGAATATTTCTTCAGGGTTCGACTGTAAGTTAAAATTTTTTTCATCTTTCAATTCATTTTGAAATACGATAAAATTAAGTCTAATTTGAATTCGTAGCTGATATAATAGGCAGTTTTAGGGGGCCAAAAATCTAAATGAACAAAAACTTGAAGAAAGATACAAAAAGAAAAAAAATTAGGGAGTGAGGAAGGAAAGGAAGATAGGAAGCAATATTCCCAAGTGAAAAAAAAAAGACAGACAGAAAGAAAGGATTTCAAAGAGGGAAAAATGGGACAGAAGAAAGAACAGATGGAGGGAAACAAAACAAAAGTCAATAAAATCAGAGAAATCTTATTTTCTTTCTCGATACTAATCCAGACCTAAAAAACGACTGAAATCAAATTAAAACACAACAAAATAAGCCTATCTATATTACATTTTCTAAATTTGTTTTGTAATTGTTGTTGGCATTATACACCTTGCCCCAGGGACAACAGTTGAAAACAAGCTCCATAGCTTACTGTATATTGAAACATTTACAGAAATGTTCATAAATGAGTACTGTCCCTGTCAAATAAACAAACAAATAAATAAATAAATAAAAATGTGTCACTGCATGAGTTTCTGCAAAAAGACAAAATCGATTTTGATCACAAGGAAAAAAACAATTCCATGTATATTCAGTTCAGTTCAATTCATTTTATTTATATAGCGCCAATTCACAACACATGTCATCTCAAGGCACTTTAGAGTTCACAAGATCATACAGTATGTGTGTGTTACTAGCATATGTGTGTGTTGCACTTGTGAGGACCATTTTTCACCATCACAATCATTACCAGTTGTTGTAAAGTGAGGACATTTTACTGGTCCTCACAAGCTATTTTGCTAATAGTTCGATTCAGGGTTAAGATGTCAATTAGGTTAGGGTGAGATATGGAGCCTAGGTGGAAGTCCAACTGAAGAAACTGATTGCTCTCTTACGTCTACCTGCGACACAGCCAATCAGCTTTGAAACCACACCTCCACGAAAGCCTATCGGCATCAAAGTTCATCTTAAAAGGCCTCCGATCCACTTGCATGCTTCTGTGCGCAGGCGGCGGATGCGCTGTGACTTAATTCAGATGTTTCAACCCACCTCAAGCCCCTCGACCACCATCATAGTTAAAGCTTCATCATAGTGTCATTCCTCCCGGACTCTTACTGCGTTCCCCGTCTCATCTCAACCGGTCCGGCATAAGACCGCCATGTTGAGTCTGGTTCTGCCAGAGGTTTCTTCCCAATGGGGAGGTTTTCCTCTCCAATGTTGCTTCATGCTTGCTCATATTTGACAGGTTCTCTCAACCTGTGTTATCCAACTGGACTTCCATCTTCCAGGTCCCTGAGTGAAGCTCTAGTATTAGCTCATGCAGTCCACTGGATCTCCCCATAAAGCTCAGCAGACCCTCTCACTAACCAGCAGTCTACAGACTGACCAACTTCATCTATCTCCACTCCACCACCAGTTTCAGGCCTGCTGGGAAACAGCCCTGTTCCTTGCCCCTATTCATGCATATCTATCAAGATTAAGAGCTATGTTTCCTGCTGAGGTCTGAGTAATTGTATCAATAAATTTCTCCTAATTGTCATTTCTCTTTGTGTGAGTTTTACAGATTGAAATGCATTGGTAATTGTTAGATTTAGTGTTAGTTTTAGAAATGGGGCATAGAAAGGGTTGAAAATGACTGAAAACAATGAAATTCAATGGGAGTCAACACTAGGTCCTCACTACATAAAGCAGAACAAGTGTGTGTTTGTGCGGTTCGTTGTAGAAGTTTGCAGCAATCATATCATCCTGCAAGCAGCACAAAAAGATGCAATTTGGCACAAACATTAAAAACAAACTTTTTCCATCTGGCAGAAAAATGTAATCTAACTCAGCTCTTTAAACTACTAAACATTTATCACTGCATAAAAAAGACGCAGAAAAGGCAAACCACAGAACAACCTCATTGAAGCTAGTTAAAATGAAACAACTATGGCAAGAGCAATGTTTCAAGAGATTTTAGGACGGCTGACTTAAAAATTAGGTTTAGGTATCATTCCTGTGAAGTTATGGTTAGTAAATACAAGACTGGACTATAGTGTAACAACAGACATTTAATCACTTGAAAAAGGACAAGTGATGATGATACTGTAATATGAAGCTTTATTTTGAAAGGTAAGATCAAGGTGGCCGCAGATTAACGTTACCAGACGAGCGTCATGAGGCGAGTGCTATGACATAAGAGGCTGATACCAAATCTGCTATTAATGGAGAGAGTTACAAACAGTCATCATGCAGTTACATATAATTAATGTCAGGCTTATAAAGTTTGATTTGAAACCTTATTTTGAGGGTGAAATTTGTATCTCAGTTAACCATATAAGGGAGTTTATGGGTTTGATTTGTTTGGGAAGCTCTCCAAAAACCAGCAATGATATAATTTGGAATCATTGCTAATTAGAAAAACAATACAAACCCCTCCCGCAAAGTCCTTCTGTTTCCCATTTTTAAGATATAGGCCTGGGGTTAATAACCTGTGGCTCTTATGCACTAAGAGACTCTTTGGACCCTCTATAATTGCTCCTAATAGTGGCTAAAAGTGATAAAGAACCAACTAAAGGTATTAAATATGCTATAATATGCCAGTGTTGGAAGCTTAAATTGGTTTTTAGCAGATTTTTTTAACCTAGCTTTACTATCTTTTCCAAAAACTTTCTAAGTTGAATTTTCCCTACAGATTTGCAAAGAAAAAATCTATATGTTTTCATTTTTTTTCTTGTTATTACTTTGGAAACTTTTTCCTTTTACATATTTTTTTCACAAATATGAACACCCTATAAAAGAAAACTAATGAATTTTATGTTTTTCCTCATTTCAAAACCTAATAGTACAAATAAATGGCAAAAGATTTCCTGTAGTAGATATATAACAATAAATAAGTTGTTTTTATTAAAAGCTCATGTAAAATTTGCATCTTTTATTTGATTGGAATCATGGAAAATGGCTCTTCAAAGTATCTATTTTAAGCAATTACTCAAAACCACTGGCAGCAAAACAGCTTTGAATGATGATGCTGCCACCACCATGCTTAACAGTTGTTTCAGTGTCAGATTTAAAAGCCTGTCCTCCACTCCTTCATATTTGCTTTTGAGTATTGTGTTCACATAGCTCAAACCAAGCACCGTCTGACCATGAAGCACTTCCTAGTTTTCAGAATCAACCCTACATTCTGGCACACAACAAAAACATACATAAGAGATTTGTTAAAATAAGTGTATTTATCCTTAATTTGAGTAGTTAAATAAAATAATCGGTTAATGGAACAAGCAATTTCCCTCTCATTAAACAATAATTAAATATACTGCTCTTCAAATAAGACAAAGCATATTTTTTATTTAACCCTTTAAAGCCCCGACCAAGAAATAACTTTCATGAGATTCTATTTTTTTGTATCAGAATTGGCAGTGGACTTTCTGGAAAATGAAAAAAACAAACAAAAACATTTTGCATTAATTACATTTGGATCCTTAATTTGCATCATTTGTCATTCAGTAGGAATTCCTGTATAATCTTTTGTGGACGTTCTGTTCATTTTTTGCGTCTGTTTATGTAAGTCTGGATTTTCAGATAAAGAAATATCAAACTGATGATGGAGATATGATACACTTGAATTAGAAAATAGTCTCACTTACCTGCTTAGTTAAAAAAAAATTCACTTATTTCAACATAAAAAAATGACATTAGATTTCAATTTTATGTTGACAGTACAGCCTTAAACATAGAAGAAGGATACTTAGGATTATTTCACAGAATTTGGTGAAACAGTGACACAAGTCAATGTGTCTAATCTCTGAGTCTGTTTACAAATGGATCTAAAATACTTTGAACATTTGAGGAGTAATTTTGATTGACGGTAAGTTTCATAGGCCTTCAGATTGTGTTGATAAATCCAAAGTTTTCAGAAAAATCCTTACAATACCGGGAGAGAAAAACATAAAAAAAGTTTATATTATATAATATAAAAAATTTTTTTATTATATGATATAAATAAGAGATTCATTATATTGCTGAGATCAACACTAATAGTGTCTGAGAGGGGTGAGCTGTGTGATAAGCTATTATTGACTGTATGCCATGTGGGCTGCGATCCAAGCTTTACAAGCAGTATAGGAGGATGTAATGACTGAAACAAAGACAGGGGATCATTGACCTTGGCAGATGAGCACAGGTGCTTCATTTCACTGAAGTACTGTAATTTTTTTTTCTTTTGCTTAGTCATTGCTTGAGTTCCCTCATTCCTGCATTACCTGAAAAGTAAAAGATCTGACAGGAGAGCTGGTATGACTTTTTCTCTTTTTATTTTGACCACCTTTGGCCAGTGTTCTTCTTAACTTGTAACTGCATTGTTGGCCTGTAGGCGTGAAACTGCCTCGACAGTATGCAAAAAAACAAAAACAAAAACAAAAAAAAAGCAAATAGTTATCAATCCCACATCTCTGCATACAGGCAGTGCAGGGGAGATATTGGACATTTTCCATCTATAACGCCCCTCTGGGTATCCAGACTGCAGGTTATTACTGCGAACTGCTGAATATGCTGCTGAGGTGAACATTACAATCATGTTTTTCCTGATAAGGTAGTGTTAAAAACAAACAAAAAGCAAGCTGCTGTCCCCCTCGCCTCCTCTCTGCCCGAGGTCTTTGATTGAATTGATCTTTATGCAAATGCCTCACTTTTAATATGTCCTATTTTCATAAAGACAGCGAGAGGGAGAAGGAAAAAAAAAAGCAGCGTCTCGCTCTCCATCTTCAGATGGAGAGATCGCTTCTGGGTGATACTCATCTCTGCAGACGTATATTGTTTTGCAGGCGGAGTGCTGCATAAAAGACAATAAAAAACCTCGACAAGCCAATGTAATTACACTGCATCCCCATCATACAAGACTCCATATTAGAACAATGGCACTAATATAGGCATCACTCCCAATGCCCCAAAGTGACATTAAATCATAATGAAGCCACTATGTTTTTAACTGGCGAGTGTGCATGAGGCCAATAACACGATTCACATATCAGCTCTGCTATAGAGGTGATGGAGAGATTTCGCCATCAGCTCTCTGCTCTTGTTTTTGTTTGT